TGATCCCGACTATCCATCACAGATGTAAGCTGGTGGCATACGCTTCACACTCATGCGACGGTAATAAAGCACTGTGATACTACTGAGCACACTTGGAGCTACCAGTTGGTGCTAATGCCAACCATATGGCAGAACACTCCACAAATCCATAAAGGTTGCTTGGAATTTAAATGTGAACTTACTAAAGCTCCGGCAGTGAAGCATCAGTGTTGAACAGTGATGTCATGCTGTCGACGATGATGATGATGATGCCACAGTGTCTCTGTATTTCAGCCCGTGTTTCTGACTTTTGCTAGTCGTGGGTTTTTCGAAATTTTCGCGAACATTGTGAAGAATTTGATGAGCACTTGGAACGCGTAGCTGAAGGAAACATCATAGACGCATGGGCTAAACCGATGAGACTTTTCCACCTCTTGTGCCATGCACGTTGTTGCTGGTTTTGGGTTTTTTGTCAACAGCCGTGGCCGTTCTCCGAGGGTATCAAGTACAGCTAAGCTGTCGCAGTAATCCCACAGGACAGTGTCTCTTTTATTGCCATTTCATTACTGAGAATACAGGCTACATAGTTCCCTCACTGTACACATACAGCAGTGTGCATCCTTAAACTAATTATGTTTAGCTTAATTAAATGACAAACTGCAGAGGGAGGCCGTGTGAACAGATTCAACAGGCTTTAGATTCCTTTCTGTCCCAGTGTGTTATTTACTTTGAAATCAACCTTCTATTGAACTAGTTTGAGTGGGTTTAAAATCTTCAACGTCAAGCTGTCAAACCCTTAATGCTACGATGCACGTACAGATCAATCAAGATACTGACCTTGATCAGGCCTCGTCAATCGCAGCCTTACTCAAAGCGACCATGTGTTAACCACGGAGTTCACTACACCGTTTGATGACTAGACAGATTGCTTTTGAAAGAAACCAGACCATTCCACTCAAACACTCAATCAACCAACACCCAGTCAGTCGGCGTCTCCCTTAGCGAAGGATTGGAAAGTGCACGCGTGACCCCAAAATGCAGTTAAAACCACCAACGGTGACCACGAACGAACAGGTTGGAAAAGGTGACCACAAACACGCTGATGTTAGTTTGGTTTATGAAACTTGGTGCCTACTGAAGGAGCAAATGTAGCCTGGTGTTAGAGATAGTCGTAATCAGACCAAGAGGAGTTTTGATAGTGGCTAGGAGACAGATGTAATCGGGACTGGAAGACTTGGAAATCATGAACTCATTTGTCATTAATCTGTTAGATGGGGTGAAATGACTGTAGATCCCTCGGAATTAAGCGTACCTGTTGAAGCTAAGTCAAAATGGAATAGGTCGTGTACGAAATTCCTCCTGAATTACTTTAAGGTCATCTTACCATAAAAATTAAGCATCTGTATGAGGCAAGGAAGTCAAGTTTCGAAAGTGTTGTCAGAAATGTAATAAGAACAAAAACGAAAAAATTCAGTCCCAGTATGGGGTAGAAGTTTTGAAGGAATACACTGTGGACTATGGACATACGACCCAGCGACAGGGTTGTGACTAAATTTTCTAGAACATTTCCTTGATTCATGGCAAGACCGATCGTTACTTGTGCTGTCTAGGTACCAAGTTTGATGTGGCAAATGAAAGTTGGCGGACTTGGTTGGGATATCACGTCCATCGTCTCGTTCTTCTTCCAGTAAAACATTCTCTGCAAACTGTCGGAATTACGGGGGTGTCTGAACCATTGTCCAGTAATCTTAACCTTCCAACTGCTTCCACTACGTCCACGACCTAGGTTAAGGCTAATTCCATATTTAAATTTTTTCATACCCTTATTCTTTGGTAGGTATCACCTGATTGAGGTTTACATGAAGATAGAACCCATAGCACCTTCTGCAGTCCCAGCAATGAGAAGACAGACAACACTGATTTGTCCTCAGTGCCTTTAATTTTCCCGTTTTACTTTCGACTTGATTTGTTTTGATGTCCCGCATGACGAAACCTAAACGAAACTCTAGGCGAAGGCGGATATAGAGAACTGTTCGTAGGTTGCCTCATGTATTACTTCTTAGATTTGTTAACTACTGTAATACACTTGCACAAGGGGCCCACTATCTCATTGCATATCACAAAACCCGGTAAAAGTGGAGAAAATCTTGCTAGTGCAAGCAAGTTACACAGGACGCAGTAGCACGAGGCCTAGAATTTCTACGGAAAGAATACACGGTCTCCATATGTCGGTTTGCTTTACACCAACTGATTCCTCGTATGATGAACCTAATGACAGTCAGAGCAAATTTTGCCGGATAGAAGGGAACCGGCGTCTTGTATTTTGGGAAATGCTTCAAAGGCAGACCGAAAGGTGAAGACCATTCAGAGTTCTTATAGGTTCACTTCGTTTCCGGTCATCATTTTCGAGTAGTCATACGATTCACAATTGAACTAAAATCATATAAAATCTACAAGATATCTGAAGAAGCAATTTTCGCACACGAAGTTTGTTTTACTTTGATCTCAATAAACACAGTCAAAGCTAACGAAAAGCGGAGTGTGCTCCGGTGGTGGCCGAAAAATATAGGGCAATCAAATGTGGTATATTATTTCTGTTCTGTTCCATCGTGACTCAACAAAACTAGTCAGTTATTGTACGGTTGAAAGAAAAGCGTACTGGGTTGCAAGTACGGATTCATGCAACTTGAACGCCTTTACTCGAAGGCTTATTCGAACATCAAATTCACTGATAGTGCTTTCTAAGGTCACTCATACTACCGCGAAAACCAGACATAAAAGCAATGAGGCCTACAAAGTTGCTGCAGTTACCAAACGCCTCATTACATTTTTAACAAAGTCTCCTTGTTTTAGGGCTTAATATACCTAATTCAGTGCAGTTGGACGGTCTGGAGGGCCAGAAGCGGTAAAAACAACCTTTGGTTACAATACCTAATTCAGTGCAGTTGGACGGTCTGGAGGGCCAGAAGCGGTAAAAACAACCTTTTGGTTACAATATTAACGAATGTATCATGCATCCACATAAGACTATGGACCAATATATTCCTTATTGCATAACGTTTTGACACTGAGGTACTAGAGGATATGACGTAACATAGTCATGGGTTACCAGAAATGTAAAACTTTCCAAAGACAAACTCCTCCACCTAGTACGGTAACCTGACCTCAACACCCATCTGCATATCAATTTGGCTTCGACAGGAGACTCAGCTGGAACCCAGCTGAATGTCTCGTTTGTGGTGTTCGTAATCAACTGAATGTGTCACACCAAGCCACCTCCTGTTTCAGTTGGTACGATATTCAAGAAATTGCAATGCATTGTATAGATGTAATACACTGCTCAATCATTTGATCAAGAATATCATAAACGAGAAATTCAGCTGGATTCCAGGTGGATCTGTCGTCAAAACCAGGCTCGTATACCGATGATTGTATAATTCGAAGTTAAGGCTATTTCGGTCCAGGTAAAACATAAGGTTGCCAGAATGTCAAGGGCTGCTCTCATCCAAGAAGCCCCAAGAGAGACGTAACCGGACATGGGCTGTCGGCCACTTTATGGGTTGTGTATTACAGTAGTAGTAGTAGTATTCTTCTCATTATTCCTCTACTGATTATTATGTGAGTTACCATTGGAAAGGCCACACTGACTTATTCGGATACATTAGGATTGGTACTTACAAGTCTTTCATCGTAAGACAATGAATACAGAAGAACACTTGAGGTCTCTCCAGAGAATTACATCTGCATGGATAGTGCGCTACAAAGAGACAAATAAAAACCTACGTTATCTTATATCCTTATTGCTACGTGTGTAACGGTGTATACTACTGATGGAGCATGCGAGTAGTATGTTTTCTCGGAAATCCGTTTCGCGTCTCTTGAAAAGCAAGATATATTATGGAATTTGTGGAGTCCCATTTGCTTGCATTCGAGCAATAGTCAATGAATATCCAGGAAAGTTCAGGAAGACGCGTTCAAGGAGAAGATGGATATTCAGTTATTGTAAACAAGATGCATATGAGAGTTTACTCCCCTGTCCAATAGTCTGTAATTGTTCACTTGGCGTTTTCCAGTAATGAACTCCGCAGCAAGGTCTTAAAGGCCTCACTGCACGGTATGTAGCAGTCCCCAGGGTAATAGTAATGATCATTCAGCTGTGTTGCACCACCTTGCGCTGAGACCAGTTGGACAACCACCAGTTTCTCTGATTGTTGAAACCTGATCTGCTACTTTAAACATCATGGGGGACACTGGCTCAGAGCGTATGCCGGTTTTTCAACAGCAGAAGGCAGAAAGGTTGTTTGAACACAAGATAACCATGATTCGGAATAGAAAAGGAGCATCCAGGATCCGTAAAGCTGTAGGAACAATGATCATTGCTTCATTATTGAATTGTTTCATCATTATTGAATGATTGCAAACAAAAATGCATGGAGAATTTTATGCCACCAACTAGTCTTAATTGCCGGCATCTAACATAAGTAAAACCTCAAACAATCACAAATCATGTGCTTCATAGTTGCGGTATTTCTTGGGTGGTCAACTTCACTGAAAAATCGCAGTGTTTTTATTGGCCAAAAGCACTGAAAACGTCATCAGTGTGGAACAAACTTTAACCATGTTCACGTAAGCGGAGAATTCATATTACCGCAGTTACACACATTTACAGTTTATTTATCCAGTAATATTAAGAGATGAGCTGAACTTCAGTGACTAAAACAGTTAATATGCCAGAACAAGACATAACCGGCTTTTTCAGTCTTCCCATACTACTGAATATGCCTGACGAACTGCTGTCGAGTGTTTCAGTCTTGAGACTAGTTTATATGCATCTAACTCACGCTTCTGTATTGTCATTAGACATTTGTTCGACTCACTGTCCTGTCAAAAATTGGTTTCATTGTTACCTCGTCCTATTGTGTTGCGTTATTAAAACACAAATCGTTATATGAAAATTTAGAAATGAGATAAAATTCTGAGAATGCGCACTTGGCACTAGATTTCATAGGGCGACGGATGTGATGTCCATCTGCTACTTTTCATTTTCAGTCTTCAGCTCCAGAGGCATGTCCGTTTCACACCACTTGCCCGATTCAGAGCTGTACAAATCCCGCCCATGTGTTATGTGCCCAGCAAACCAACTGACGAATGCTCAATTACTGGACGTGCATTTTGACGACACAAAGGTGTGGAAAACGTCATCTCCACTTTCCAGTATCACAGAAGGGCAATCGGATTTGAAAAACAGAGTGCAGTCTCAAAGGTCAATGAGTGCTGCTGAATTCAAAACTAATATGCATAAGAAACACGAGCCGACCTATATGACACATGATTCCGGATCTATTCCCGATGAACAACAAAACTGTGATCGGGCTAAGCTGAAAAAGCGCCGCAATCGCACCACATTCACCAGTTTCCAACTGAATGAAATGGAACGGATTTTTCAGGTAGGTTGGAAGCCGCAAATCATAGTTCTGTTTTATATGAGCCATTCCCGTAATTGTGTTGGAGCGTACTGAGCGTTAGGCATCCGTGAGCCACTGCCTCACTAAGCAACTGTCGCCAGTTTTGTAGACTGGACAGAACTCTGATCTCAACTATTCGCATTTCAAGTTGGATGCATATTTATGACCCTTCAAGTGTTGCAGACCCAGTTTCCCGCCGACCGATCAAAACAATTTCCTTATTGAAACGTGTGAAACGAGTAAATTGCTCTCACAATTGATGTAAAATGCTTAAAAAGTGCGGGCTGTCGCCGTTGTACTCTTCTGCTCTCGGTGTGCTGAAACATAGTGTGCTGATGAGATGGCCGAACCCATCAGTATGTTTGGTGCACGTTCAGTCTTTTACTTGGGTGCGAATGAAACTATATATCGTGCATAATATGACCGTACACTTGAAATGCTTCAGATATAAGCCTGCGTACGTGAATCGGGTAACCGTTCGACTACTAGTGACAGCGCACTTCATCACTGTAACCGGATAAAGAGAGAAGTCTATATGCTGTAGGATGATTACCATTATGAATTTTCCAAGTCAAATAAGATTTCACAATAAAATTTACGCGGCCTATGCATTCAAGACAAGAATGCCGGCCACCGGTTTGCCAAAAGTGGGGTATAGTGTAGCAATCAGTACTGGCTAAGCATTGAAAATTTACGTACTGACCTAAAACACATAAGTGAGTAAGCAAAACTGGGTGAGAGGGAACGCACGACCACGAAGATCATCCATAGCCTTCTGATCAACATCTCGATTTAGGCTGGAGATAAAACATGAAATCATGGGAAGGTATATGATGAAGTGAAGAGAAAACTCTTCTGTTTTGCCTCAAGTCAAAGCGCTAGAGACTTCGCCGTGCAGTAGCTGATGAAAGCTTACCGGATTTCTGGCCCAAGGAAATATCATGGGAAGGTATATGATGAAGTGAAGAAAAAACTCTTCTGTTTTGCCTCATGTCAAAGCGTTAGATACTTTGCGGTGCACCAGCTGATGAAACCTCACCGGATTTCTGGCCCAAGGAAAGCAGTTTAGTTTCTTGGGAGAATAATTCTCTTGTAGGTAGTGAACTGGATTGTCACGTGCATCTTTAAATGACACCACATGTCGTTGAGTAGAAAGAAAGTAGAAATTATTGCTGTCTGTTGTTACGTATCGCACACGGAAATAAGGAGGACACTTCGGTCCTCAAATGTGTCATTGCTGAACTGTGATGAGTTGGATTGCAGATGAGAAAATTAGACCAAGAAAGAGAAACGAACACCTGATTTGCGTATCAGAATACCGACTGACTTCTTCGCCCCTTGCTTAAGGAAAAAGACTGGAATCCACGAAAATTTAGTATTCAGATACGGTAATGAACAAAGTCTAACGCTCTGAAATGTTTTTTGAAACATCGGGAGCATGAATCGATCAACTCTTAGTCAAAAACAGCAGGTATCTATTTGTAATATGCTTATATACTGGTGACTGTGCACTGGACTGCTATGAGGTCTTAATCCTGAACGGTGAGGATTTATTGCCGAAATACTTCGTAATTTGATCTGAAAATCACTGGAGTTGTTTTGTCCGTATGATTTTTGAGGGTTTGTTTTCTCATGCGTCTAAAGTGGTTCTTGTACCACGTTGCATCCATCGGATACTCTACTCGTCACAAATCGAGTTAATTGGACCTGGGTAAGAAACCGATGTAATATTGGATTTCTCTGTCACTATATCCAATTTAATCATTCCGAACATTAATATATTGGAACATGGTGATTCTAACAGTACTCCATGCTCTCTGGTGACTGAAACCTCTCACAAGTGGAATCCCGATAGTTTGAAGATATGCAGTGCGATGAACAAAACTACATTGCAATATTTGGATGTATGTGTGATGGAAACTCTCTAACCGGTAGTAGGCTGTCAAAGAGGTTTCATCAACCTTACGAGTACTGTATTAACTTTGGGTGTAATATTGAGGTATCTCGAATATCGTACCAGCTCAAACATAAGGCGGCCTGGTGCCGCACATTCAGTTGAAGAAAACTATCTTAAATGAGCGACTGAGTTGAATTTATCTGCATCTCTCATCAGAATCAAGTCCGTGGGCGAATTGGAGTATTTGTTGATAACAATGAGATATTTCGGGTAGAGATCATTCAGTCAGGGAGGAACGCCATTTAACGAAAATTCCACCAACATGATTTCAGTCATTTCTGTAACCGCCGTTTGACCTTACAGCCTCCTTGCTCACACTTGTTCTTATGTAATGGACTCTTTACGACTTCCGAATTTTTGTGCATCGAGTAGAGCAGGAATTCCCGCACCATGACCATTCAGGGAGTGGAGTTCTTTAAAAAAAATGGAGCACACATACTAACACAGTTTACAGTTAGCATAAGTAACTCAACTTCTGTCTACACAATATTCAGCAGCTGTTGGTCATGCATTTCCGCCACTGCAGAGCACGCATGAACGATATTTTACATATCACTATATATATATATATATACATATATAT